GTGATTTAAGAAGATGGGTCACTCTTGACGTAGATCTCCCTCTTCGATTACGGGGAAGCGCTTCTCGAAAAGGATCAGCTCCGTCCGCATCTGCCACATGCAATGCGACTATGTTGTTTGAGGATGCGAGCCTTCGCCCGGTTTGTTGCTTCACCATTCGAAAACTTTTGCTTTCAAGAATATGTTGCTTTCCAGATGCCGTTGAATCCTTCACTTGACGCAACAGTTGTGCTAAGCACGTCAACTAACGGTGAGAATTTCTAAACGGTGCGTTGCACTTCAGCTTTATTCAGTAATAGTGTACAGCCGAAGAAGCGGAGGAATTGGACCTACCAGAAATCGCATTCCTCAGTGCAGCGAGCTTGGAGCTCCTCGTTCTAACTCAGACTTCCATGCCTGATCCACAGGTTAGTTCTATGCGTATGGCAAAGTACGGTGTTGATAACTCCTACTCCCTAGGCCTCGGCACGAGATGTTGATCGATTTGACCTAAAGAGAACAAATACTTTTTTAAACACCTGCAAAACAGAAGTTCCTGTAGAAATCAAAAGTCTCTGTGCAAACAGAACCAGCATCGCAGCAATTTTGCTTGGAACATGTGTTGTCTGAGGTAGAGCGATTTAGGGTTTTAGCAAGGAAAGGAGGAAGTGCTTTGATAATATACGGCGGATTTTTTTATTTCCATAGGTTTTCAAGGGTATTCCGTCAAGCCTTAAACTCTTGCTGCGCATCTTCTTCTCAAATTTAGAGGCCGTTCATTGGCTATCTGCTTAGAAAAATGAGTTTTCAATTAGTAGTGGTAATATTTTTTTGGATTTTTCCACGCAAACGCGCACTCAAACCTTGGAGCAGACTTGTGGGCATGTTAGATATATGGTGGGCAGTTATCGGAGACGATTGAGTGAGCATGGGGAAGCGAAAATGGAAGGAGAAGCCAAAACTAGGATTTCTGGACCCTGTACAATTTCTCTTTTGCTTTTCTCCAAAAGGTTTCAGCTTGCTCTCTGCCGAGATCTGCCAAGGCTTATCCCATGCAATCTCACTTTCCTTTTTCATGCATGAAAAATTATCTACGATGAAGAGGCGACAAGAGTTCTTATATGTTTAGAAAATGTTTTTGAAGTTGTATCCTACTTTTGGGAAAATTTTTTTTCAAAATAAAAATTGCGTTGCAGTCTACCATTAATGATTCCGAATAATTTACAGTCTTATTGAATTAATTGCTAGAAGTCTTACGTTTCGTATCAAAGGGTGTCCTCCAACAAAATAATTTTTGAAAGAAATAAAATGAATACTATTACCTTCAAGCGTGGAGAAGGTCAGAGGTTCAACCTACTAACTGTCTGATGAATGTAATTAGTGATAGAACTCGTGAGCTGAGAAGTTAGATCTATGGAGTGATTTTAATTGGTTACTTTCTACTCGTAATCCAATCGTTCAGCTGGATCCGATCTTAGGATTCTCTTTCTGCCTGATTTCGGATGTCTGTCGCACGTCGTCGCCATCACTTCATCTTTTCGTCACCACTTTGCCGGCCCATGTATGTTTTTTTGCAATGCTAACTTCTCTAAATATCTATTCTAGTTCTAATTACTTAACCTCACTTCAGAAAGCAGCCAATGAACACATGATGCTTGTACCTGATGAACAATCGTTGTTCGAAAAGCTTGAAAATCTTGTGAAAGAGTGAGCGGGTTTCAAAAAGTGATATGTTATGGGGTG